AGAGGAGAGGAGAGGAGAGGAGAGGAGAGGAGAGGAGAGGAGAGGAGAGGAGAGGAGAGGAGAGGAGAGGAGAGGAGAGGAGAGGAGAGGAGAGGAGAGGAGAGGAGAGGAGAGGAGAGGAGAGGAGAGGAGAGGAGAGGAGAGGAGAGGAGAGGAGAGGAGAGGAGAGGAGAGGAGAGGAGAGGAGAGGAGAGGAGAGGAGAGGAGAGGAGAGGAGAGGAGAGGAGAGGAGAGGAGAGGAGAGGAGAGGAGCTGCCAAAACCACCAAACAACAACCAACAAACACAGCAACAACAACCACAACAGCAGCTTTGGACTTGCACCCCAAATTTTGATGACTGTCCCTCACGGATATTAAGATTTTGACACTCACAGCCATACGGCATAATATAGTGGAAAATCTGGGTTCCCGCTCTTCTCTTTAAGATGTCGGTCCCTGGTGCTAAGGTCTCCAAACAATCAAATTCTGATAGAACACAACTTGAAAAGCATCATTTGCGAAGACCCTTTGATAAATGTCCAAAGAAGATGAATCAGCAGCTCCGGTCGACTTCAGTTCCGCAAAAGAATCATGAAGTCGACCGGTGCAACAACGAAGGAAATGGGAAACTAGCAAAACCTTTCGATAACATCTTTGATCTTGCTACAGGTTGACCATGGGAACAAGAGCTAGTACACTATCAAGAAGTCCAAGTGTTTGATCTTCAACATGTCTTCTTCTCAACCTCGGACAACAGAGCGCTCCCCAGTCATCGACAGCCCTGGATACCTGTCATCAAGAGTCGTCCAAAAGCCAGGAGTGGATCTCTCGTTGTTGGAGAATGTCCCAGACCACCACCTGGCCACATCAGTCATGCAGCAACGCGAACGCGGCGAACGTGTGTGTCTCCTCTCACGACTCACTACAAGAACGACTGTATAGTACAGTCAACTACTCATTACAATATCACTTCACTATACTACGCTACACTAGTAACCAATATATGTATATATATATACCTAAAGCACCTGAGGCAAAAATTTCTGCCTCAGTCCGATTTGCCCGGGAGGATTCGTGGATTTAGGGTAAATCCGCGCCAGGTAGGAATTTCCGCGGCCAGCGGGCAATTTTTGCCTCGAGTAAAATCCGACATAGCAATTCAAAAACCATCACCACTGCCTAACACCGACCAGGTTGTCTCTTCCATGATTGCAGACCACATATCGTTCTGCAAGGCCATAGTTTCACATATCAAGATCTGACATCCTACTTCTAAATTCATGACATTCACAAAGAGGCTGCGATATATGTTCAAGCCCTTCAAGGGCACTGTTCTTCCTCTTTCCCGGGTATTTCCGCCTTTTTCCCGGGCATTTTCGCGCCAGGTGTTTTCAACTTTGGACTGGTTTTACTGCTCGTGTGCTCATTCCGCACAAGAAACCTTCAAAATCAAAAACATGGTAGCCAGATTTGCAGGTGGAGGTGGAAACTTAAGCGCCGCCATCTTTTTTTGTCATTGAGGTGACCATTCCAGGCAGGAATGCCCAATGCACATGCAAACCACCAAAAAGATTCAACTGCTCTATATAGAATATATGTAGTCTCTCACTAGATTCCTGAAAGGGAAAATTTGCGGCAACAAAAACGTTTCCGCGGCAAACAGTTGATTTCCGCCCCAGGACGGGGAGAGCCGCTCTTCCCGAAAAAGGCAATAATTTCTGCCGAAAGGATCTTCTAGGTATTTATGTGTTCAAATGTTTTCAATGGTGTTTTGTCAAGCTGGATGCGAATGTGACATGCAAAAAAAAAGTACTGTGGTAAAGAACTTTCAGTAACTGTCGAGTAGACAACATCAAAGCAACTGGAAAGGACTGTGCAAACAAAATGTACACATTCTTTCTATAGAATCGTGAGCAATATTTAAACAAAGGCCATCAAAGGCCTATGGAACATCCACGCTGCCAATCCTTTTTCTGCGGCTTGGAAGTATGGAAGGCGTGCCAACATTTCCCCAGGTTGTTTTGGACAGGCCTTGATTTCTAGTTAGAGCCTCCTCGGCCAACGCATGTTTGGGCGATGCTTCACTGGGGCCATGGAGGTCTCCAGTAGATGGTGAAATGGCGTTTGGCACGCCTATAGCTGCAAGTTCACCACACCAATAGATGGCCACGTCTGACATGCTGTGACGATCTCTGACCGCCTTGAAGGTCGGGAATTGACCATTTCCCCCAAAGTGGGGACCCCCACCCCACCAAAATGAGTTTGGTCACATTCTTTGCCAACATGTCCTGGCAATGCCTCTGAAATCGAGTCTTTGCGATCGATCCTCATGAAGGACCCCCTCGCTCCTTTCGATCTGCATGGTCTGATATCAGTCTTGATCCCACACCTTCGAACGATTCAGCATGGCTCGACATTAGGACTCAATCAAGCAAACCCTGGCACCCACCCAATAAACCCAAATGAAAGCTTTTGGTGAATCAAGAGTCCTGAGAGTCTACAAATCAAAGAAAACACTGCTCCCCCACGATGACTGACTCTGCTGAGCAGCGGTCGGGTGCCCCGTCGGGGATGCTCCGCCCAGGACCGCCCAAGCGGCGAAGTCCGTGAGAAAACCTGGTTTGGATCAGCGAAGCGATGTGGATGAAAAAAACACAACATACTCAGACACTCCATGTTACTGGGGCGCAACCTATGGCCACTCAGACACTCCATGTTACTGGGGCGCAATTCAACCTTAGTTGGCCTACATGAAAAAAACTGGTGGTTTGGTGGTTTTCCATGGTTTTCATGTCGGCCATAGTTCTATGAGCCAGAAAATGGAGCGTCTGGGGTATATCAAAATCGGGGGGGCTGTGGGAGAGACTACTGAGGCCAAGCTACCAAGGTGCACAGGGGCTCCCTTTGCTTTGACCCCCTTTTGGCCTGAGCGGCATATCTGATGATCAGTTGGGTCAAGGGTCAATGTATATAGGTACAGTAAACACTCCAGTCCAAGGAGTTCTGAGGGAAAAAGTTGGTTTGACTAAAAGCGACTAAAATCATATTGGATAAACGATATTGGTATATATTATGGTCATGGTCATTCTTGTTCCGGTGCCCTCCCAACCATGAGTGTTGTTTGCTTGCCTAGATGTCATGACCTTGGGAACCCATCGAACTCACACTCTTTTCTTGGATTAGATCCTGCGAAATTCAGATTCCATTGCCACATTGATACTTTGAAAAATGCTTAAATGTGTCAATATCAAATAAGCTTCCTAAGACATTCAAGCACACACAAAAAAAAAAGTTGTACACTCACCCCATGTCTATCAACAATCATGACAATCCCTCCAATGATTCCAATGCGTGTGGCTTTCAAATTTGCACGCCCCCCCCCCCCCCAAACAACAAAACGGAAGCAAAAAACTCACACAATTGATAGGATCCTGATCCGCAAACCCAAATTGCCAAACACCTGGCGGTCACACAACCAACATCTTGCAGTCGCAAAAGACAAACCGAGCAGCAGTTCCAATGGGGTGGCTATTGGAGGATAGGAGCAAAGAAAGAAATACGCCTAGAGCTCCAACTACCTGCTGGTGCCAGTGGGGTCTAAACCACCTTGCCCTATAGGGGTGTACACACACAACTTCACATCACTCCTGAAGAAAAACACATAAACACTACACTACTTTGCAGGCAAGGAGCAATTGGCTGTGACCTGAAGAGTCAGCTGAAGAGTCAGGCGAACTAGGAACACACGAACGGCTTTCACCCTCCTCTGCTGCCCCGGCCAACTGGACCGTCCGGACCCGACTTCTACCGTTTTCAAATGGGAATGATACGACCACATACGACATGATAAAAACAGGTACTTGTACCATATTCCACTCATTTTCTGAGGTCACTGAGACTCCAGGTTCATTTATATCAATTCAAAAGGTCGGCATCAAGCTCATCATCTTATATTCTATAGTCCTTTGCAACCTGGATTCCCGATGTCCGATTCCGGCGTCGGCGAACCGGCGATGGAGTTGGTCGAACGGCTCTCCGGGTCGAACGCAGCGGTTGGACGGTCGAAACCCGTCACGATTTGATCCCAAACTCTGCACCCTGATATGGAGGACATTCATAGGAGAGGACCTCTGGGGGCTTCGGACCAGTCGGCCTCGGAACGGAGCGTTTGGGATGGATGAGTAGATCCCTCTTCGCTGTTGAGAAACTCGTGTTGTCAACACTTGCAGCCTTGCTGCGAGCCCAGCAGGACTGCTGGCGGTCGTCTGCAGTCTTAGACTTTCGCTGCATTGGCGCAAGTCCCACAACCGAAGCCTCGACTCTGTGTCAAAGGCAGATGCTTCGGATCTTCCCAGTGACCGAACTTGACCCCCCTTGTTTGAGGTCACTTAATTAGGCCTGTGAAAGGTCACAAACAGGGACTCCAACGTTTCACTGGCAAGGTGGCAATTACATAGTGATACAAACTTCAACACAAGATCGATCATCCTCAATCCTTTTGCACTGATCAAAACTGAGTTCTTTAGTGTCGCCAAAAGCCGCCCAGAGACTCCCCAGCATTGTCCAAAGCGGCCGCATAGGTGCAGCCTGTGATCTTTGCAGCAACGGGACGTAATTGTTGACATCATCCACCAATATTGACAAGCTTAATAGCTTTCTTGCACTTCCCGGTCCAAGACACTCCATGCATGGTATTTACCTACATTGGGGTGGTTTGAGGGGTCATTGTATAGGCATATATGACAGACATCGGTCGTGTCTGGGAATGGTTTCTCTTACGATGCGTATGTTTTGAAAGGTATTTCCGGGCGGCTCAGGTTCACTCCATCAATACCGGCATCTGAGAAAGCATGGCGTTGTGGTATGCCGTTGTTATATCTATCTTTATAGATACAAACATAGATAATGTAAACCCCTTTTCCAAATGTATTGGATACCGTTGTCTATCTATTTGGGGACCACTATCTCGTTGCTTTACATGC